TGAAACATTTGTTAAGTGAATTTTACCCCATTTTACAACTTTTCTTGCCTCAGTTGTTAAGTTGTTAATCACTGCAGTTATTACGTTAGTGACACGGTTGTTAAGTGAATCTGGCTTCCCCATTGACTTTGCTAGTCAGAAGGTCACAAAAGATGATCACATGATCCCAAGACACTGCAATCGTCATAATTATGAATCAGTTGCCAAGCATCTGAATTTTGAACACATGACCATGGGGATGCTGCAACAATTGTAAGTGTGAAAAATAGTCATAAGTCACTTTTCCCATTGCCTTTGTAACTTTGAACAGTCACTAAGTGAACTGTTGTAAGTGGAGGACTATGTCTATGCTTAAGATGGATGAGCCAAGCACAGATTGAAGAAATAACAAAGACCCCAGGTAGAAAGCAGATAAAAGTTTCTTAGGACACACTTCCTAAAGCTAAAAATTTAGAAACTGAAGTCCAGGAAATATCCTCACATTGGATATAGCAGCCCTAGGAACCCTGTGAATAATGTTATCTATGTGTATTACTGAAATGTTATAAGAATGATTATACAGAGACACAATTACCGATAGGGGAGAATATTTGTAGCTCAGGTTTAAACGAGGGGTCCTTGGTGCTCTCTGAGCTTGGTTGTTTTCCTGTAGACGTTTCATTACTCAAATAATATTACCTAGTTTGGGTAATGAAACGACTGCAAGAAAAAAACCAAGCTCAGAGAGCTGCCAAGGATCCTTCACAGATACAATTATTTCGTGCAATATTGACAAGATAATCTTTTCACCAAAGGTTAATTGCACAGCTTAACCCAGTGTTTCTCAACCTTGACCATTTTAAGGCATGTGGACTTCAATTCCCAGAATTCCACAGCCAGCAATGCTGGCTGTGGAATTCTGGGAGTTGAAGTCCACATGCCTTAAAATGGTCAAGGTTGAGAAACACTGGTTAACCGAAAGCAATAGTGAACTAACGGAAAACTAACAAGCTATGCATAGGGTTCAACTGGATGCAGAAAAATATAATAGTGGTGCGGGTAACAGCTTGCTACCGTTCCTACTGCTTGTTTATTTGGTTATTGCGACGAGGCGCTGAATTCTTTTTTTTTTTTTTTTAAAGGTTCGCCCCCTTAACGTCATCCGAAAGGAACCGCCCTAGTCAGCGAGCGACCTTCCCTTCGCCTGGCAGTTTTTGCCAGCCTCCAAAATGTCCCACCGAGCCACGGTCAGCGGCGGCGACTCGGATGACGTTTACAAGCCCTTAGAGCTCGTCGACCAATCAGCGGCAGAGAGGGGCGGTGCGCGAGAAATTCGAAAAGGGTCGCGGTCGACTTCCGCGCTGTGAACGGACGGCCGAACGGACGGAGGGAGAGAAGGTAGGGGGAGAAATGGCTACTCGGTGAGGGAGCTTTATGAGTGGGAAACGGTTTTGCTGCGGGGCCCGCTTGCACACCGACGGAAGCCTTTTTTTTTTTTTTTGCCAGCGAGCTCCGGATGAGAACGCTACTAAATCTCTCGGGATATTGGCGGGAAAATCCTCCGGTGAATTCTTTTTAAAAATGTGATTTCAACCTATTTTTGATTTCGTACATTTGGGGCTGGTTAAGGTAGGAGTCGAAGCCTCCACAAGTCTGCGGGGCACCAGGCTGGGGAAGGCTGTCCCGGGGACTTTAGGGCAGCCCCCTGAAAAAGGACTGCAGCCTCTTTCTGCCGGGACTTGTCTCTTGTTAGATTTGGGCGTGGAGATCAGGCTGCCGAGCTACATGACAGAGATATTCATCTTCATTTTAGCCATGGTCTGCCCACTGCAGAGTGAAGGCCTCTTCCACATGTTTCCAACCAATACGGTCCTGGATTTTCTTTTGCCAATTGGGCCCACAATACTTGCTGATGTGGTAGATTCATCTTGTTTTAGGGTCCCTTTTGTGGACTCTTTTTTATTAAGTGGGATCCATTCTATGGCTGCCTTGGTCCATCTGCCATCAGTTCTTCTTGCTATGTGACCAGCCCATTAACATTCTTTTATTCTCTTGATGATGAGGATGAAGGTTTGTTCTCCGAGCTTGTGAGTTGGTTTCCTGAATGTTTCATTACCAAGCTAGGTAACATCTACAGCAGAGTTTTTAGCCTGGTAATGAAACGTTCTTTCAGAAGTAAGTCTTCATCCTGGTTCATCCAAGCCGGGAATATTATCATTATTATTATTATTAAATAAGCAACATGGCGACTACTTTGGGAAGATGGTTACAGTTTATTGCAGAAGCAGAAAGATGGTTCTTCAGGAAAGAGCAGAGGAGAGAAGAAGAGACTGAGCACATGGCCAGTAGCTTTTTATACCGTCTCTAGCTTTTTGTTTGGAAGTTTTCCTGTTCCTGTGGCATGAACTTTGAGGCTATTTCCTGTGTCACGTATTCTGACCTGAGCCCAGGTGTGCCTCTCTGGTATTACTTGATGGTAATGGTTAGTCCTATTATGTCCCAAAAGTCATCTCCTGCTTCCCTGGGGATGGGGCTAATGACTCCTAGAGTTTGGGTGGGATATGCAGTTTTTCTCTTTGTCTTCTTGAGTTCCTGGCTCCAACCTTCCTGATGGTCCCACATCTGCATCTGTATAGGGCTGGCTCCTGCCTGGGGCAAAGAGATGAGGCCAGGTTTGGTTTCTGCTTTTCAAAAAATGCTTTTAAAAATCCTTTTGGTGAAAAATATATTTTCCTGCCTTTTTCTGACTTCCCACAGTTCAGAAACCGACCCACAAGCTTGGAGAAAGAACCTTCACTCTCATCCTACACCCGAGCTACAGATGTTCGCCACTATTGCATTTCTTGATGATATCGTATACTTTCATTTGTTCTCTAATCCAGGGGTCCCCAACCCCCGGTCCGTAGACCTGTACTGGGCCAGCACAAACAAGCAAAGCCCCATCCGTGGGGTGAACGCAGCACACAAACCCACGCATTCTCCGGTCCACGGAAAAATTTCTCCACGGAACTGGTGCCCAAAAGGTTGGGGACCTCTGCTCTAATCCATGTGCAAGTCTTTCTATCTTCTGTTGTAATGCCGAGCACATATCTTTCCGTGGCTCTTAGCACCAGTCGTAGCTTTTGTATCAATTGTGGGGTAGTGACCATGTTCATTGGCATATGTTAGAGCAGATAGCACACACTGATCAAAAACTTTTCAGGCATGGGAGGTTGATCTTGAAAATTATGCTTAGGGACAAGGATGTTGTAACCTGGTAATCTATCAGTTGCTCTGGAGAGCATTTATTTTGGGAAGGTAGTTGCAAAGTACTATACATGCAACTTGATGTCTGATACAAATATATAAGTTTGGGGTCTTGTGTCATAATAAGTTTATCTTGTTCCTCCTCCATTTCTCATCACTAGTATCTTTGCCAGTCCCAGCCATATTCAGATAGTCCTCGACTTATGACCACAATGAGCCCAAAACTTCTGTTGTTAAGTGAGCCATTTAAGTGAGTTTTGCCCCCTTTTATGACCTTTCTTGTCACAGTTGGTAAGTGAATCATTGCAGTTGATAAGTTAGCGGCCCAGCTATTAAGTGAACCTGGCTTCCCCATTGATTTTGCTTATCAAAAGGTTGCAAAAGGTGATCACATGACCTTGGGACACAGCACCAGTCATGAGTTAGTTGCCAAGCATCTGAATTTTGATTACATGATCATGGGGATGCTGAAAAGGTCATAATGTGAAAAATGGTCATAAGTCACTTTTTTCACTGCTGTTGTAACTTTGAACAGTCACTAAATGAACTGTTGTAAGTCGAGGACTACCTGTATACGATACATACAGTGGTCAGTGAATATATATACTTAGTGGACTCACCTCAAAAAGTATTATATGTGATCCTTGGCAAGCAAGTGGTTGCTTGCCCTTTTAAAAAGGAATAAACATGATACTGTTCTTGCTTTTTGGAATGATGATGATGATGATGATGGAGTTGGAAGGGGCCTTGGAGGTCTTCTAGTCCAACCCCCTGCTCAGGCAAGAAACCCTATCAGACAAATAGTTATCCAGTCTCTTCTTAAAAACTTACAGTGTTGGAGCATTCACAACTTCTGGAGGCAGGTTGTTCCACTGATAAATTGTTCTAACTGTCAGAAAATTTCTCCTTAGTTCTAGGTTGCTTCTCTCTTTGATTAGTTTCCATCCATTGTTTCTTGTCCTGCCTTCAGGTGCTTTGGAGAATAGCTTGACTCCCTCTTTGTGGCAACCCCTGAGATATTGAGAATAACTGTAGCCTTGGTGCAGTCCCTTTGTATAAGGAGTTGTTTTAGCCAACAGTAGCTAATATCAGAAGGAGAATGGTAGTGCTCACAAAAAACTATGCCTTTTAATATAATTTCTTATTTTGAAAAAGTATTATGAGACACATGATTTTTGATGTAATTTCAGTAACTTTAAAATCAATATTGCTAACTTCATTTGGGTTTGCTAAAGTGTCTGATGGGCTGTTTATGTTGGTAGAGTGCAAATATCTGTTGTTTTTCTTGAATTTTGCAGACAAAATTCATATTCTTTATACATCATACGTATCCAACTTTTTGGCTTGTCTGGGCTGCACTGAGTGAAGAGAAAAATTTTGGGGGTTCATATAAAATATATAATATAATTAATACAGATAAAAGTTTACAATCTTGTGGGGCCACTTTACTAGCTGTCCATGGGCCTCAGGTTAGACATCCAGCGTTACATCACAGATTATGTATTCTATGGACTGATTGCTGAATTTCATATCATTCTGGTGCAATTTCTATGATGCAGCAGCCTTATATTATCAGATAGAAAATGTCATTTAATATTTTATAACTAAATTTTCAAAATGCTACTAAGGATTTAAATTGTATATAGTGTTATATATAGTGTCATTATACGGTACTATTATATCTCATTCACAATTTAAGCATTAAATAATTTAGGGAATTTAGATGCATTTAGAATGGGGTATCACAGAGTTTGGTTGTCTTACTTTATAACACCTTTTTAAAGTGAAAATGTAGAGGAATACAGTTCATATTTGCAGATGTCAGACTTTTTTTAATTAAAAAAACATTTATAATAAAGAGATTTTGTTTTTGGAGATGCTGTACTTTTTGAAAATAGAAGAATTTTAACGTGTATTTTTCTTTAACAGGAAAGAAAAAAAATGTCATTGAAAGCAGTTTCTTTACATAATATCCCTGGTGGTACACCTTTAAAGGATTTTGTAAACTTCCAGGTGAATTGTACTTTCGATTCAGCTAAAATTCCTCCTTCAATGGTTCTTACTTGCCAAAATGTTTGTTCGGGCAAAGAGATTGAAGGAATAAATGTTTTCCAGTCCACTTTAATGTCTGGCAAAATGCATACAAAAAAGTTCGTTGACATCAGTGAAATTAAAACATCATCTGAAGGAATCCTGGGACTGATTTCTTCATGTCAGAAAACTAAGCCACTGACAAGGAGTGTCATTCAAAAACGTAAAGCTTGTGAGGCATTACCCTTTGAATCTCCAGCAAAAATCTTCTCAAAAATGAAACAAAAAGCAGCTCTTGTCAAAGAAAAAAACAAGCCTTCAGAAGCTAAATTGTTGGACTCAAGGTGTACCGCAGATTATATTCTTACTCCTGAAAGGCAACCTGCCTTTCTACAAAGATCAGAAAAAATACCTATACATGAATATAAACAAAAGACAAAGGTGGATGAGGATTTTCATGAAGAATCCAATGTAAAAACAGGTTGGTTGTATAATTTCTTTCAAGTTTCTTCTAGTATCATACTTAGATGTTTGAGATACAATTACAAAAATAGGGCTTCTACCTAATAGTGATTAGAAATTGGACAACCTGCTCCCTGCCTTATTAACTCAGACTTGCCTGCAGGATTGATTGAATTTATATGCCACTCACCTTGCTGTTTTAGGTGACTCTGTACAGCTAACCCTATAGTAAAAAATAGAAATATAAAAACCATGATTAATATAAAAACAAAATTTAAAAAGGTTACATACAGAGTAAAAGACAATCAGTTTAGAGTGGAACAGGGGTGGTGCCTTCTCTGTCATTGCACCAGCCACTTCCAGCGTATAGCTTCTCCATCAGGGCCCAACACCAACTGGCAGAGCAAGGTTTTAAGGCTCTTCCTAAAGGCCAGAAGGGTGGGAGTGGATCTCGCCTCTTGACTAATGGGGTCTGCACTCTTTGCCAGAACAAGTGGGATGGGTCAATTCCATTGGAGCAAGTTGGTTCCTCAGGTACCTTAGACACATTCCATAAAAGGCTTTAAAGGTGATGACCAACACCAATATTTTTCAATAAGCCGTCCTTTGCATTTCATGTACTGCCGATGGCTTTTTTCTCCAACTTTCTCTTGTTCATTTTTATACGAATAAAGTATCACAAAGTTGGTTTAAACCAATGGTCCACAATCTTGGCGGCCTGGCTGGGGGCAGGTGGAAGAGGGGAACCAGGCTGTGCAAGCAGCTGGCCAGCGTGCACGCAGCACAACTCATGTGAGTTATGGGTTGGCACGCACACAGCTTGACTGCAAATAGAGTTGCGTGCACATCCTCGTCAACCTGCCACTTATGCAAGTTGAGCTGCTCGTGTGCATGCATGCCGCCCTGCCTCTCAAGCGGCCCAGTTTCCAATAGGCCATGGCCCGTTAGTAGACCGTAACCCAAGAATTGGGGACCCTGCTTTAAATCACACTTGAATCTTTGTTTCCCAGCACCACTGCTTAAGAATAGCAAGCAAAAAGTGATGAGGAAATACTCATATAATTAATTAATTGTCAAATTATGTATTGCAGTGATGGCGAACCTTTTAGAGACCGAGTACCCAAACTGCAACCCAAAACCCGACTTATGCATCGTCGGGTGTCGGGTGGGTGTGGCCCATTGGGTGGGTGTGGCCCATTGGATAGGCATGGCTGCAATGGTAACTGGGTGGGACTAAAAAGTTCAATCAATTCCAACTTTGCAAGATCTTTTTTTCTTTGCGAGAAGTTGAAATTGACTGACTGATTTGAAACTTTTTTTTTTTGCACACAGGAGGCCTAAAGCAAAAAGGTTTTATAAAACCCAGCTGAAGGCCTAGGACTGGGGCGATGGCGCGCGTGCCCACATAGAGGGCTCTGAGTGCCGCCTCTGGCACCCGTGCCATAGGTTCGCCACCACTGATGTATTGGGTACCCCTGAGATCTTGCAGAAGCACATTTGAACTTCCTCAGTGATAACACATCTGTTATATTAGTTGTATTATTCATTGCTATGCAAATATTAAATTCCATGTTTTCTAAAATGTTATTTTCACTCTACCAGGTATTGAAAACTATTTATCAGTGGATTTGATAGTTTTTGTCCTTTCATTTTCAGTGACAAATTCTATTTCAGTGAACAAAAATATATGTACTGCACTAATAAATTCTCCATTTCTAGAATCCCACAAGTTCTTCTCCCGTGTAAAACAGAGGTTGCAGGAGGATTGGTCACAGAAAGGTAATACTTTTTCTTAGGCGATGAGAAGCTTTGCATATATTTTTGTCTTGAAATTCTGTCTTCAATTTTTCACTTGCAAGCTTGTGGTTGCTTTATAATTTTCTTGTAATTAAAAGTTGTTTTTAATGACAACTTACATAGCAAACTGCCAAATAATTTGTAGTTGCTTTTATTCATTTACTCATCATTTGCCTTTAGTTTTTTCAAACCTTTGCCCCATAGTATTCTGGTTCTAATTTTTAACTTATTTAATTTTGCTTTCTTTAATAATTAATGTTTAAATGTTTTCTACCACTTTTTTATGATGTTTGTAAGCCACCCAGAGTCACTTGTCAGTGTGATGGGTGGCATATAAATAGTTTACATACATACATACATACATACATACATACATACATACATAAAAGAATTGGTCATCAAATAGCATGATCACCATTCAGCAGGCTCTTCGTTAGTAATACACACACATGCACATTAACACACACACACGATAGTTAGCTATCTCATCATCATCATCATCATTTTACTAAGACTTTTATATAGATAAAAGATAAATGTAAAGAAAAAATAGGAAGAAAAGAAAATAGTTAAAGAAACAATCAAAACAGTAAGCAACTTGCAGTTTTTATAATGGTTAGAAACAAACTCATTATTGCTCCTGTGTCTTGATATTACAGAAATCTTTTCAATCCCTTATTTAGCCCTTTTTCAAATTGCTTCACTTTGCTTTTTTTTTTCTTCAGCAAAATGTCCATAAAAAGTACTTGCTGTTTTGTCCCTTACCAAATAGGTTGGTTTTGTCATTTCTGCCAATTCTGGCATCTTCACAATCCATTCCACAATTTTGGGAGTTTCAGTTTGCCTCCATCTCTGTGCATATAATAATTGTGTTGCAGTTACCCTGTATAAAATTAGTCTTCCATCAGATTATTCTAGTTGGCTATACATAAATCCCAAAGAAAGATCTGTTTTTCTTGTTATTGATCTTTAAAATTCTTTGTATCTTGGTATGTATTTGTATCCAAAATGTTCTGCCTTCTTCCCAAGTCCACCATGCATGGCAAAGTATCCCTTATGTTTTTCATATTTCAAGCTCCTCATTATTGTTAATCATTCCATCATGGTTTGTCCATATCCAATCAAGTCCAATTCTTTATTTGCATACATCTGATGGAGAGAATCTTGCCAGGCTAAAGCGATAACCTCATAGATATATCCTCTGAGAGAATCTAGAATGTGGCTATCCTAAACTTTTCCTCCCTCAACCCCCCCCCCCCCAATCCATCTTAATTTGTCCCTTAATTTGGCCTTCTCTCTTGAATATACTGCCTCCTCCCTGGAAAACTGGTGCTACCAAGATTCCCACTCCCACTCCTCCAGGTGCACATTCCATCACAGTAGTCCTCAATTAACTTGCTAGTTGAGATCGAAAACTCTTGTTAAATGACACAATCAAAAGTTGAAAAGCTATAACTTTGCTGCTTAGTAACAGCAGTTTCAGCGGTCCCAGTTGCTATCATTAGAAGACCACACTGGTTGTTGTGTGAGGCTCTCGAGTGATCACAACTTCCAACCTCCTGCCAACTTTCCCATTGACTTTGCTTGTGGAAAGTCGGCAGGGATGGTGGCAAATTGTGATCAAGTGGCCATGGCACACTGCAGTGGCTGTAAGCATGAGGTCTGATTGTAACTACCATTGGTTCAGCACTGAAACAAATTTGAACAGTTGCTGACTGAGTGGTCCTTAGATTTGTACCGCCTGTATTTATTTAATTCACTTATTTTCTGACATTTGTATCCCATCCATTGCCAAAGATACCAGACGGCTACCATCCAAATAAAACTCGTAATACTATAAATATTGCAATAATGATTTAGCAGTGAGGGAAAAGCAAAAACAGTCCAAATATCTCTAAACCTTGCGTTTATTTTTGTTTTTACTTTATGTGGGAGTATAGGAACTATACAGGTTTTAAGGGATAGCATATTCTAAAAGGATGGAGCTACTATGGAAATAGCTCATGTCTGAGGCCTTCCTTAATATGTTGAACTTTGACATATTAAGGGATAAATAATTAGCACTCCTCTTGGCTCCAAACCACTACAAAGCCTCCTGTTCTAAGAAGTTAGCATGGCTGAGGAAAAAAATGATTTAGGCATAACAACTGATCCTGAAACAGTAGTTGTCAAGTGAATATTTCCTGTAGGAGATGCTTCACTGTACTAAATTTAAAATGTCTGTCCTTACTTACAGCAAAGCAACCTTTAGTCACATCCTGCCCAACCAAAAAACTTAATAATTGTAATGAAGAATGCCTAAATACTACTGTTACCCAGAAAGAGAAGATTATTGTGGAACCTGCTGAATTGGCCATTGAGACTTTTACCATAATATCTAATCCTCTGATTGTGAGTGATGATCATATTAACTCTAGAGAATTCTTGAGGGAAGAAGCATCCAGAAAATTTCCTCAAGAAAAAGCAGCGGTGACTCCATCCAAAAACATATATGGCCAAAAAGCAGGAGAAAATGTAAGTGTTTCGCCACAGAAACCTTCCCAACATCTGTGTGATACAATTTTTGCTACTCCAAAAGTCCATATACCAAGGAAACGACAGCATGATACCAAGGTGCTCTTGGATGAACCTGATACAGGCACAAATAAAAAGGTAGAATCTTTTTTTAAATTTTATTTTATCTATTTGTATCCTGGCTAGCTGGAAAAACAATGCACACCAGCCACAGTTAATCACAACTAAACATAACTAAAGGGGTCACCACAACTACCTTTTCTTGTGTTACAATATCTTTTTTCACTACTTCAGAAAGGAGAATCAGTATGGGTGATGATGAGTGGTTGACCAGGATATTTTCTGTTAACTACTTCATTGAGAAAATGAAAATGAGTAGGCTTGCGCAACACTTCAGGTTCTGTCTGAAAAAGATATTTTTGAGTGTTGAAGCAATGAGTAAGCAATTGTTTTGCTATTCTAAAATAGCGTCATCTGGCATCAGCAGGCAGCTGTGGACAATAGATTACATTCTCAGCCCTAACTGCAGCTTAATTTAGCTTATCATTTATTTTTCTATTGCTCTTTTAGATGATAATTTTAGGGAAGAATAATTTTGAAGAGCCATAAATCTGAAAAAAAGCTCTCTTTAAATAATTATAATTTTAGAAAAATCCTGGAAATTACTAGTATCTTATTTGCATTTATTTATATTTTGTATTAATAGACTGCCCAGTTCTCTCAAAGATGCAAGTCCACTTGTTTGTACCATTGAAGATCAGAGATCGAATAAATGATCCAGACTACGTGTATTAAATTTGTATTTAATTTGTATTAATTTGTATTAAAAAATAGCATCTGTTTTTTAAAATTGGTTTTAAATTTCTGTAATATAATAATGGAGTTTCCATTTCTTTCAGAATCTCAGAATAATTTCAGAAATGTTTTGAATTTCAGAAAAAAATAAATCTGTAAGCTTCAAGATTTTCCTGGATTCAGTCCTACTTTGGGATTGTTTATAATGCTAACAAGATATATAAAGGGATGCATATGGCTTTGTACATATCATTCTCTACAAATCTTTGCTTGAGTGGTACAACTAATACATGTTGGGGGGGGGTAAATTACTACACTAGCTATGCAAGGTTTTTTTTCATAGGTTCAGAAGAAAATATTTAATATTTGGGTTCAAATCATATAAAAGAGATGTGCACATTTTGAATGTAAGTAGTGATCACAAATATAAGGAAGAAGTATGAATCTGAGAATGTCATAGAACAGAGGTCCCCAACCTTTTGGGCACCAGGGACCGGTTCCGTGGAGAGGTTTTTCCGTGAACCAGAGGGTGCGTGGTTTTGTGTGCTGCCTGCATCCCACGGATGGGGCTTTGTTTGTGCGGACCAGTTGCTGGTATGCTGTGGCCCAGTACTGGTCTATGGACCGGGGGTTGGGGTCATAGAACAGTCGGGTTACATTACATGATTTTGCAGTTGGGTGCAAACTAATTATGACAAAAGTTTATATTCCATATTTTTTCTAATTTAGTTCTCAAAAGAAAAACAGATGATATGTATGAATCAATGGAGAATCAGGGTGATCAATAACAATGCTGATGTGTGTCTGGAAGGAAAACGGAGGCAAGTGACTGCTTTTCAGTTTTGTTCAAATATGTCTACATGGTTTTTAATCACTGTCATGGATGGTCCTTACATTTAGTATTGAGTTATTTTATTGGACTTATTTCTATAAGCTTGAAGTTTATCTCAGGAGTGTAGAGCAATTAAAAAAAGTTATAAATACAGACAATCTCTTAAACAATCAAAAACAAAGGAAAGCCCAAAAAAAGCAAACTTAAATGGAGCAGTTGTTATGCCATAAATTTAGCAGTGGATAGCTTTGTAAGAATGAAACATTGAGTTTGGATTGATTCCTTGATTTTCCAGGTAATGCCGTGGATGACAGTTATCTCTTCTCCCATGTTATTTTTTTGAACATCTTGATATCCAGCTCCCCCCCCCCTCCTTTTCCTTTGCAACCTACATTTTGTAAAACTAAAAAGGTGGGGTTTAGGTACTAAATTGTGGTATTTTTTTACTGGGCATTGTAATGTAAATGATTGATTGACTGTGATTATTAACTAAATTCCCTCATATATTTCTTTTATATTCAGTCTATGTTTCTGTTTAATCCTGAATACATAACATGGCTTACAATTTAAGTTCCCAAGAGTAAATTGAATATATTCTAGATATTAACTACATCTTGAATAGACTCATGTATTTATCAAAATTTATTCTGTCTGGCCCATCTTGTACCAGTTAAATAAAACAGTTAACAAAAGCTTTAAGTCCTTTATAATAAATTCAAAAAATGCCTGCAAATATTTCTTCATAAGGAAAATACTTGACAGATCTGTCTTATTCGCATATAAGATACACAATTCACGATAAAAAATGCATATATCGGGAAGTGGGAGAAAGAAATTATAATGGGCTCACATTACTTTTCTAGCTGGGATCCTAAGAAAGCATAATGGTGAGATTAATTCTTTTCTAATTATACTATGTCCTTTTTTATTTTAGAGATATGAAGGATATCTTCTGGCATAGCAATGTAATTGTAGAACGCATTACACACAATCAAGTCAAAACCTTGACAGGAAGTATCTACATGTTAGAAGGGCATATTGATGCAGTTAACATGAAGAAAGAAGGTAAGAGAAAAGGAAAACCACAGTGACAGCCTGGAATTTTTATAAGCTTCTTGGGAAGATGGCTTCTACCTTGCTGCTTCTTTTCCAGCTGTTTATGCTGACCTAGTACCCAAACTGTCAGTCCCTAGTAATTATTTATGAGTTCTACATTGTCCTACATTGGGAGCTATGAGGCACCTGCCTAGACTAAAATAGATTAACACATACCATATAAGATTTAGTACTAATCACTGTGCTGCTGAATACAGCTACTTCATTACTTCTAATTCCCTTCTGGTGTTAAGTGAAATCTAACAACAACACATGTCTGATTTATGTTTGTCATGTGAGGTTTAAAATGATACCAGATTACTAAATATTAATTTGTTTCAAATGATAGCTTGAATAAGTAATAATGTTTGCAGGAAGGAGAATATCTTTAATATATCTATTGCTCAATTTGCTTAATGTGACTGTAAAATGATGGATGATTGAAATACTCATAAAAGCACTTTGCCATTCTAATTTGCAAGGGGTACAGAAATCTGTACTCTCATTTTATTTATGCATTTTGCCCAATGTGATCTAAGTTACTTTTCAAGTTTATATGCTTCTTCCATCTCAAAATTTGCTTTCTTTTTAAATTTAATTTAATGCTGATTGTGTGATAGCATCAGCTTGAGTAGAGTCTTGGATGTCATAATTTCTAAAATGCATAACTTTCCTCTATCTAGAAGTTTCCAAGATAACACTTGCATAAAAATAAAGGTAAGCATTACAAAAAGAGAGAGGATATAATACAGATTTAAGATAGTTTAGGAATTTTCTTAAAATTTTGTAATCCTGTAGGATTATCATTGTTTTGATCTCCTCCAAAGGTTTGAAAAATGGTATAAGAAGCACCCTTCTAAAACATAACAACTATCCAAAGGCTATACCTTTGTTTCAAACAGGAATACCACCTAAATTCATAAAGAAGTTTGGGACAGGAATTCCAAGAAATTGGAAAATGCTTGTTGAGGATTTGCTTTGTTATTTGAAAAGGTCAGTATCACTGAAAATGTTTATGTTTTTGAGTCGTTGTGATAGCTGTGATTGTTGGTAAGGATTTTTGAATCTTCAAAATATTTAAGAAAAACTTCACTCCAGCTTCTGCAGGAGACATGAAAGGAGCCTCCAACTGGGTGTCTCCCGGGCAGTAGTAATGTCACCGGCTAATCCTTTCAACCCTGAAGCGCTAAATTGTGATGCAATTTAGTCTGTGGCTTCAGGTAGTTTTTACTAATTTTATCTTCTTTCTCTTGAGTAAATTTCTAGAGTATTTTTATTGACAGTTCCTCAATTTGCAATCAATAATGCCTCAATGGAAGGACTGGTTATCCTTGTCTGTTTGAAATAAGAGCAAAAAAAAAAAGCCCTTTATACTCTTTTTCCTTTTGCTTTTCCTCTCTTTTTTCTGTATTCACCATTTTTCTTAGATGTGAATTATTTTACTGTTGCACAAAAGTCTTCCATAAAAGTTAAGTTTTTAAAAAGAAGATTCCACTTGAGAAGTTTATGTCCTGGTTTTGTAGCCAAAAGTTTGGAAAACTCCGGTCTTCTCTAGGTACTGTGGGAAGTCAGCCCCCCCCCCAGGGAAGGAAATATTAAAAGGGCAGGAAAATATATTTTCTCAAAGTATCTTGAAGAGGCAGGAAAGCATGCCCAATTTTCTTAATAGCCCCAGGCCTCCCACCCCAAGCAGGAACCAGCTCTATAGAGGTGCAGATGTAAATCCAGGGAGCTAGGAGATTAAGAAGACAAAGACCTAAAATCTACATACCCCATCCAAACTCTTAAGAGCAGTGGTTCTCAACCTTTTTAATGCCGCAACCCCAACCGGTTGTAAGTCGAGGACTAAACTGGTCGTAAGTCGAGGACTAAACCGGTCGTAAGTCGAGGACTTTCCCTGCCCAGGAGCACCGCACATGCGTGGTTCCGCCCCCTGCGCCGGCCAAGGCGTAGCTGGCAAGCGGCAGAGACGGAGCAGGCTGACCACCAGCTGGCCCAGCCCAAGGGAGGTAAGGCACCCGCCAGAAAAGGGGGAAAAAATGGCGGACAAAAAAAATGGCGGACAGCCTTGCTTGGCGACCCCCCGTGAAATGGTCGATCGACCCCAAATGGGGTCCCAACCCACAGGTTGAGAACCACTGCTCTAAGAGTCATTGGCCCCAGGGAAGCAGGATCTTTGAACATAATAAGATTGACCCATCACCATCAAAATACCAGAAAGGCACACTCAGACTCAGGTCAAAGTTCATGCCACAGGAAACTACTCCAAACAAAAGGCTTCAGAGGGTATAAAAACCTACTCCCCACATTGCTCAGCCCTTTTTTCTCTCCTCTTTGCTGCCAGAACCATCTTCCTGTCTGGCTCTCCTCTCCAATAAATTACAACCTTCTTCCCAAAGCAGTTGCCATGTTTATTCCCAGCTTGGATGAACCAGGATGAAGACTTTTCTTCCAACAGTAATTTAGGAAGAGACCTAGGAAACAAAGATGTTTCTGTATGGAGAGATGGATGAAAGCAGGGCTTGGAGTTACTGAATTGCCACCTTCTGTTGAAGACAGCCTTCTAGAACAAATGGGGGTCTGGATAGGCATCTCAGGCTTTATCTGATTCCCTATACCCGATTTAAACAAACAGCTTAAGAAAAGAGCTGCTACTGCAGCATACCAGGGTTTAAATGTTTTAAAGAAAATATGAAATTTGCTTAAAAGATTGAGGTGAATAATACTACTTATGCAAACCTTTAAATCTTAGGAAAGAAGAGAGAGCATTTCCTGTAAGTGGTGATAGCAAAGAAAGAAAAAACGAATGCTCAGAAGGACTTGATCTGCCCCAAAATATTGAGAGAAAATGTAAAATGAAAGACACCACTTATGATGTATTACCACTGCAAAATGATGAAATATATGGTATGCATGTTCTTTCCTTTGTTTTTGGAAGATTTTGGTAGCAAAGAGTCTTTTCAAAAAATACTGTTGTATTTATGATGTTCCTATCCCCTAGTAATTTCCTATGAAATTTAGTTTTGCTCACAATGGGAAACAGTAATAAAAAACGTGCGGACTTACAACCAAATTTTGGGCCTGATGACAATGCATACTGGAGAGAGAATAATGCTGACCTAGCTGTATGAGACAATTTTACCTAAATGAGATGGTAGCAATCAGTGATCTTTGTAGCATATGTCTTTCTCTTCCTCAGTCATGTTTACTTAGTAACCATTTCACTTCCAATTTAACAGATTGTGGTTGCTAAATGAGGAAAGGATGTATTAGCCCAATTAATCCATTAACCTTGTTAATACTATGCTCCATATAGAATGACGAGAATGGTATTCCGTGGGTTGTGAAAGAGGTATNCAGGAAACAGCCTTTCAGATTGTTTTAAAAAACCCAAAATATTTCCGTTACCAATAACTGTTGTTTCTATAGACTCCTGTTATCTTAAGCTAATAAAAGTTGACTGAAGAGAATTAAATACTCAGTAGGGCTACTTCACTTTTTCCTTGGATCAATTATGAGGATGCTTCTAACTTTATATTTATATTTACAGTCCAGTACCTTATTACACAGGCAGAAATTTGTTGTTGCTGAAGAATATTTTTGTGTGTGTTTGTTTTCCTTGTTAGGTATACAGATGAAAACAATTGATTTACAGAATGACGATGATGATAAAAGTATCACCCGTAGTGGGCGGCGTGTTAAGCCACCCATGCAGTTCTGGTGTGGGGAACGGATACGTCTTGATCAGGAATTAAATGTCACTATAAACAAAGGAGGTGCCAACTACTTATCACCTGTAAGATTTCTTTTTCTCCCTATATGTAAATTATTATTCTGGAGTGATGACAGTGATAGAAATTTTAAGCAGGTGCTTGTAGACATTTTGGATTCCTACAAGTTGAGAATATTATGGATTGAAAAATCCATTGTTTTTATCATTTAACTTGGAAATAGTTATTTTTCCCAAGTCTAAAGAAATCAGTTGAATAATTTGAGGGTGGCAAGTGGACCTTGTTAGTTTTTTCCTTGAAAAATTTTGCTTCTCATCCAGGAAGCTTTTTCAGTTCTGACTAAATAGTGGGGAATTGAATGATTTCTATTCTTTTCAGTCATTTGGTTGTTAGCTTACTCAGAAGGTTGTCATTAGCTCTCTGAGAGTCATTGAGGTCACTTAGAGGTTTATCTGTATCCTCAGCGTCACTTGAATCAGAGTGCAAATGGATATGGAACCTTCTTGGGTCTGCTGAGAGGACTATGTTGTAGACAGGAGATAGGTGGTGTTATATCCCTCCCCCTCTGTTGAGAGGCTGCTCAGTTTGAACATAGATGGCCTCTTTGACCCCTCTCTGTCCTGAATGTGAAGTTTGCTATCTTCAAAAGAGTGACCGTTGTCTTTCAGATGCAGATGGACTGCTGAATCCTATCTTGATGAATTTGTTTTCCTGTGTTGTTCCATGCATTTGTGAAGTGGTTGTTTTGTTTCTCCTATGTACAGGTCTGCACATGTCTCACTGCATTGCACTGCATATACCACATTGCTCTGTTTGTGTTTAGGTATTTTGTCCTTGGGGTGGATAAACTTCTGTCTTAACGTATTCCTGAGCTTAAAATGTGCACATATTTTGTGTTGGAAAAACTCAGAAGGATTTTCAACCAACACAACATATGTGCACACTTTAAACCCAGGAATATATTTAAAATGCATGTTAAGTTGCATGATATTGTGCATGCTGTGCACAATCTGTAGCTCCTGGATCTGCAACCTCTGCTTAAGGAGCAGTGACAGTCATGGCTAGGAAGGCCCTTGCACAACTTTGTACTCTGTGTCAAATGAGCCTGTTCCTGGATTGAGCCATTATACTCGCAATTTCTCATATTCTAGACCAGGGCTTTTCAACTTTTTCACCAACTGTACCACTTTTAGGATATGGCAATATTCGAGTACCATCTAGCAAGGTGTCAAAAACTTGATGACAAAAAAAGAAGGAAAAAAGTGATAAAGTACAGGTAGTCCTCGACTTGCAACAATTCGCTTAGTGACTGTTCAAAGTTACAATGGCACTGAAGTGACTTATGGCCATTTTTCACACTTATGACCGTTGCAGCATCCCCAGGCTCATGTGATTTATGTTTGGATGCTTGGCAACTGATTCATATTTATGATGGTCACAGTGTCCCAGGGTCATATGATCCGCTTTTGCAACCTTTTGCAAGCAAAGTCAATGGCAGGCCTGCTGGTGGCCAAGTGCTAAGGTGGGACTTCCTTCAGACCCTCCCTCCCTTTCATTCCAATCTCCCTCCCTCTCTCCTCTCTTCGTTCCTGTTTCTCTCCTTCCCTGCCTCCCTCTTGCTCGTTCCCATCTCCTTTCTTCTGAAGGAAGAATTTGAACCGCCCCCCATATTTTCCCTCTTCCATATATTTATCAAACAAGGAAAAGCCTCCAGAGACAGAAAAGACAAGCCGGTGAGGGAACTCACTTAAAAGGGTGCATTCCCCTTTAAGAATTAGCTACTGGCTAGAAAGGAAAGTTAAGGAGCCTGCAGCTGGCACTTAAGAAAAAACAAACAAACAAATGTATGGCTGCTGGCTAAAGCAGCTTCCCAAATAGGTCCATTCATAAGTAAACAAGTGCTACAGGCAAAATCTATTCAGGACAAAAATACTTCAAAATCCCTTGCAGCAAAACTTACAGTTAACAATAGCAGAGCAATAGAATTAGAACCAGTAAACCCTCACCCCAAAATCCAACATGAGCCATCAGCCACAATAGAAATTGCCAAACACTCCTTAAGAATGCAAAGCCCACATTGCACAAATCCCAGAACTTCAAAGTCATAAAATCACATAAAAATCCTTCCACTCTCCCAGTTTGTTGTTCAGCTGATCCAGAACTGAATTGCTGAAATGGCACTTTGCTTCTGCCAATAAACATCTCTTGAGCAGCTGGAGACTTTCTCTCACCTGTTTCAAACGGCAGCACTTCATTTTTTTTTTCTCTTAAAGGTATTGCCTCCTGGCTGGAAAGCAAGCCCCCAGCTTTTTTTTCCAACACTTACTTCCTTTCCATTTCCCTCCCTCCTGCTCTCTACCTCCCTCTTTTTCATTACCATCTCCTCCCTCCCTCCCTCCCTCCCTCTGTGTCTCACCTCCAGCCAATGCTGCCTTTCTTCATTCCTCATGGAAGGTGACCCCCTCTCCCGTTGCGTTTCTTACCTGTTTGTCGCTCACCTGTGTGCGTGCCTGGCACAGATGGCTGCCACAGAAGTTGTAGATCGGCTCCCAGCCGACCTCTTTGATCTCCTCTCCTCTCTCCCCCCCTCCTTCTTTTCCCTTTGGTGTAGCTCCAGTTGACTCTTCCTCCTCCCAAGGCTGCATCTTTTTTTTCTCTCCCTCTCCCCCCCAAACTGCCTCCTTTTATAGCCTCTCCTGTCTCCGCCCCCCTCATCCTCCTTTCTCTTCCGGGTGACCCGAAAGTGCCAATCCTGGGGCCTTTGCCTCGCCCCAACCGCCCTGCAGTTCCTGAGGACTCTCTAATGGCAAGTCCTGAGCTGCGTCGCTTTGGTTCGTTCCCTCCCCCACTACATTTGGCTAGGCTGGGCAGGGTCGCATACCACCTGCCAGGTGCCAATGTATAATCAGTGGTACGCGTACCACCAGTTGAAAAGCCGTGCTCTAGACAGCTCCCAGCTGGACTATTGCAATGTGCTCTACATGGGGCTACCATGGGTCTTTCAAATGCAGATGGATGCTGAATCTTGTCATAAATGCATACATACTATGGTAGCAAGCACAATAACATTCAGAATATATTATGTTAGTTGTGTCTCAGTTATACATGTGGTTTCATAATTTTAGGCCCAGTTTAAAAATGCTGGGTTTGGGCTTTAAGGAATAAAAGTTTTGGTTCATTATGGGTTTTTTTTAAACTAAAACACAATTCTTTGCTACTTTGCTCCTTCCACTTAGCTCCAGAAGGCTGAACCATTCTTGCATGACATCAAATGACTTAAATATTTCAGAATTATTTTTAATAGATATACTTTGGGTTTCAAACATTCCCTGATACTTCTGAAGCCTAATTCTTCTGAGAAATGTTCTAATGCTGTAAATAAAATAAAATAAAATAGCGCTAGAATACTCCTGATGCAATGCAACCATTCCAAGGATGGAAAGTTTTGACTTGAAACATTTTGAGCACTTTTCTCTTGTAGACATTAAGAGCCTGACCAGGAACAGTCTTTGTAGTAGTGGTCCCACATTTATAGCATGTTTTCCTCAGTAAATTTGGGGAATTGGGATTGGAATTTTAAAGAGAAAACAATAACATTATTGAGTTGCTAATTCTACTGAACAGTTTTAAAGAACTTATAACTTTGTTGTTGTTGTTATTGATGCTAATTTCAGTACTGTTATTTTTTTCAATAATTTTTGAAATTTGTTATTTTGAAATCTTGAATATTACTTCAAACTAGAAACTGTTACCTGAAAGATATTGTATATTCAAATAATAAAATCTATAGTGCATAAGGCTTGAACTTTAAATGAACTGAGAGTGCAACTTCAAATCCTTAAATCATAAAGCTGGAAAAGACCATTTAAAGCATTGACACTAATCTGCTAAGTTCAAGAAATCAAAACAAAGTTTCTGCTTGAAGACATCCATTGAAGGGGAGACCAATAGTTCAGAGGATTTTAGAAAAGTGTTACATTAGGAAGTTGGTATAACAATCGGTTAGAAAATGTCTTCCTGTAAGAATCTAGTTTATAGGTTAAGACTGGTCCCCAAACTCTGGTATGTGCAAAGACATCGCCTCTCTCCCCCACACAATGCTGCCACCTCCGCTGGTCTGCCGAGCTGGAAAGGTTGGGGAACACTGGGTTAAGATTCTTTGTATTTTGTATTCTGAGTTGACAGTGAACAGGTTGTGGCCATTTAAGTGAAACAACCTCAGGTAGTTGAAGAATGCCTATCTATAATTACCCAGTTGTCTTTTCTCAAGGCTAAATCTTTACTTGCAAGACAACTTTTATGTCCTGATAATACTCATTGCATTTCTTGCCATTTATTCAAATTTGTCTGAATCCCTTTGAAAGTATGTTATTAAGAAAATGAACAGAGTCCTGGAAGTGGAATTTGACTAGTACAGGATAAAATTGTACTTTTCAAATTATGTTTGCTTATATTAGTTTTTTTGTTCCTCAAGCCAATGAGCAACACGGCATCTGGGAATAGGCAGACTTTGAAGTTTACAAAGAAAAATGGTGAGAGCCTTTTTAAAGATCATAAAGAAGTGCCTTCGAACCAAGCAAAAGGTAGAGAATATTTAAATTCACTTTATTCTGGAAATTATTGATTCAAAAATTCTAATAGCGAACAGGGTACCCCATCTTTACCTGGAGGACATGATAACTAATGGCCTTAACCCATGTTAAAGTCATAAGCGCTATTAGGTTGCAAAATATTTTTCTTCGGGTCAGGTAAGTACATGATCAGAAAGGTCGATAGGTGGGTAGGAAGTGTGTATGTTAATCTTCTTTATTATTTATTTATTTTATTTATCATATTTTAAAATTATCTTCCTCACAGGGACTCTGGGCAGTGTACAATAACATGTTTAAATATTTATAGATGGCAATTTTCCCCTTCCACTTTTATAAAACATGACTTGTATTCTTTCAGGTACGAAATGGTATAGGGTTTCCTGCCTGAGCAGGAGGTTGGACTAGATGACCTCCGAGGTCCCTTCCAACTTTATCATTATTATTATTATTATAATTTACAATATTAATGTTGTTGTTCTTAATGAGGTTGTTCTTGAAAATTATACTTAGCTTGCCAAATGCCTGCCAACCACATTTAACACACCATTCAATTTCCTTTTTTATATCACCTTCCACTGAGATCCGTTAGCCAAGATATATGTATGATACTCTATTTGGGTAGATTTGATGATCCAAAAGTGAGGAGTCCTGCATGTTAGGACAAATTGCTCCCTGGTCAATGCAAGCCACAACAAAATATTGGTTAAAATAGTCCAGGCCAGGTAACTGATGAGTAATGAGTTTGAAAGGGAAGACAACTGTCATTAAATCAAGACAAAACACAGTGCTGTTGATAAATAGGAAAGTGGACTCAGAGATTGAAATTATAATTTTGGATAGAGTGGCACTGTCTTGAAACAGCACAGTTCAGAGTCAGGGCATACTCTGTGATCCTGAGCATTTAACTGGACATGGTTGTGATGAGAATGGTTTCCATACATTTACACATTACACGCCTGTGCAATCATTTGCACATTTCACTAATTTTCTATACCTTGCTGATAATGATATTATGACTACAAAATACTCCCTGTAGGGCAGGCTATGTTTGCAAATTGTCTGGAAGGTGCAGTTGATGTTAAATAGAATGATTTGGCCGCTAACCAATGAAAGAGATAGGGATTGTTTACCTGTATTGAAAAGATATGCAGTGGTTGCACAATTTGAATTGCTGGGGCTTAAAGGAAAGGATTGCCCTCATTTTACAAATCTGTCTCAGTCCTGTTTTCAGTGCTACAGGAGTGGTTGTTTTGAAAATGCCACCTCTGTTTAATGCCCCCCCCCCCCTTTTTCTGGCACATAAGAGGATTTTCTCATGTTCCAAGAGTAAGGAACATATTTCCTTGGAGCTGACATTTGCTCCCTCTTTTAGTACTTATGCTTTTAGTGGTTAATTTTAGTGCAAAGATTTTGTTTTGATTTTTGTTTTTAAAATTGTATGTTTTGCTTTTGCTGTTTAAATCCTGTCAGCTGCCTTGAATATGTGCAGAATAGAAAGGTGAAGAAGAAATTAATTCTATTAACAAATTATAACTTCATTGATTTAGAACATAAGCTAACTTTTATTTCCAAAACTAATTTTTGCCTAGGAAAAATTAATATGAAATCTGAGAATATAACCAGGAAAACTGAATGTAAATTGAAGGAAAAGTCGCAACAACTTATTTCAGACACTGAAGAAAATGACTCTGAATTAATCATTAAAGATATTTACAAAAAGAGAGTCACTGTTATGCTGACCCCTCTGGAAAAGAAAAGAATGCAAGAAAAGCAGCATTCCAACAGGAGGCCCAGAAATGAGCTAAATGTGACTAAGGAGGGTGGACACATTACTTGCTATGAAAGAAACTTGGCTGATGGAGAGTTAGACACTTTCAACTGCCCATTAAATTTGTTGAAACAACATCAACAAATTGAGAAAGTTGTGGAAAGTGTTCCTTGCACAGATGAAGATGAATCTAGTGAAGATATCCCATGTATTAAAAGGAAAACACAGCCTTCTTTCAAAAGAGAAATATCCCACAAGGAATGTAATGATACACAAGAATCATCATGTGAGCAAAAAAGTACAGAGAATTGGATAGCACCTTCTCGGAGCAGAAAGACAAAATGTTCTTACTTTGGCCAGGAGGACATGCTGGAAGAATTAAGTAACAAGAGTTCTTCTGACTTGAGTACCAGTTCTGAGCTAAGGAAAAGGAATAGACAAAAGTCACCAAAGGGGTTCAAGAAAGCCAGAAGGAATGTTCTTACATCAAAGACTGAAAGTGAAAACAGCATAAAGGAAATTCCTGTGAAAGAAATTAGGATAAAAATACCTACCAAGAGAACTAAGGGTCACATTTCAACTAATCCAAAAGCCTGTCCTGTGACTGGAAAGCCGGACAAACAGAAAAAGTTAAGAAATGCTGTGGAGTCTTTTCCAGACACTAATGAAAACTGGACTGAAGAAGAATTGCAAAAGTTGTACAGGCAAGTAAGGATGGTCTGACCGTAATTTTCCCTTGTGCTGTAAGATGCTGTCTGTAACTCTGTGACTCACAGAGCTTTTCTAATGCAAAGATAACAAAATCCGATTCCATATTAGGGAACAAAATTATTTGTAAGCTTTATTTTTCTAATCTCCTACCCAATTCTGCGAATGATTTTCCTCCTTTACAACTCCCAACTTTTTTGCAAATTTCTGATCTCTTCTTCTCTCTTCTACCTCCTCCCCTTTTAGATTCTATATAGAGTCTAACTTTCATAGTGTGAGCACCAAAGTTATAATATAATGTGCTTCACCGAATCCTTCATATTTTTATAGGGCAGTGGCATCTTTTCCTAAATACAAAGGTGATTTCTGGTTGGATGTGGCAAAGACTGTGAGAACGCGATCTGCTGAAGAATGCCAGCAAAAATACATGGCAGGGCGTGAAGGGAGAAAACGCTCCTCAAACAAGACCACCGAGCCTAGAAAAAAGGAAGAAAGAGGTACAAGTCTTGACCTCTTCCCTGTCTTCTTCCATGCAAAGCCAGACACATTTCAAGATTCCCATTCTGGGAGTATGGAATTGTTGGAATCTGGGTAGACTTTCAGCAAAAACATAGCATTTTTCTAATTTGTTTAGGGGTGCAATTGAATTTTGCAAAATTAGGCAAGCACTTTTCTGTTTTAAGATGAATAAAGGCTGTTTTTTGAATCTGTACTTGAGAATATTGGGAGAAATTTTCAGAATTTTGGGAAGAGATACTCAGGCAGAAATAGGATGCTTATGTATATCATTGTTTACTTGTTGGAAAATATGGCTATGTACGAACTAATTCTGTCTTTAAAATGGTTTGATGAACCCGTATGTGTATGGTGTTGTTTAAACACAATTAGTGTAAGGGCTGAACAAAATTCCAATCTAAAAATTCAGGTTAATGAAAGTAACAGGCTTTTTAAGTGGCTTCTCACCTTTGTCTACAATTTCCATCCTGTTGCAAAAATAGAATTTCCATGTTAGTTTGTATCATTCTTGCTGGTAGATAGGGGAATACAACAGCCATTGGCAAAAGTGGGAACCCTGAAAAGGAAACTGCAGATACGGAACTTCCTCGAACAGATGCCCAAGGATAACCACGACGACATCTTTGCTTCAACACCTTTTCAAAATAAGAACACAAAAGTAAATACCACATCTGTTGTTCATATTAGAATATTTCTACCAGGGATCCATCAGACAGGGCTTACTAAGCATGGTAGAACTGATCATGACAAACTGGAAAGTTGTTTTCTTGGGCTTGGATGGTGGGAAATAAATTCATTCTTGATTTTGTGCTGGTCTTCAGAAATACATTTATAGGAATCATGGCTTATGTCTAGATCTCAGTCCAAAATGTATATATCCGTACAACAGACATTTTCTAAAATATCTGGTATCCATTGGGATTCTAGCTATTGCAGAGAGTTACTAATACACTGTTAGTTGCAGGTAGCTAGTAGAAGAATGTACAAAAGAAAGAAAATATAGAAAAATTGTACCCCTCTATTACTTTACTCTGCTTTTCTAAATGTTATTACCCAGAATTCAGTCCATCTTTAGCAGCAAATATTTGGTCCTTATCTGAGAGATTTTTTTAAAAAAAAACTTAGTAGTTTAAGTTTTAATAGTTTTTTAGTTTAATGTTGTAGACTTATTAGACTAGGCATTTGTCTTTTCCATTTGCTTATGTTTTACTCAACTTTCTATCTGCTTCTGGGCCTTTTCCCCTTAAAAAATTTCAGAACCATGAAACTCTCACAGGTTTACAATCATTACCCTACTTATATAATTCCTCCTGTCGATAAGACCCACCTCATGTATTGAAACTATATTACTTTCACATAAATAACTAAAAATTATATTACCACCTTAATTATGGGTGATTTATAATAATTGCATCATCTTCTAATCAGGGGAAAAATGAAATTGAATTTACGCAACATGAGAAAGATGCTCTTGGTTGGGGATAATATCATGGTAAACTTACAGCAAACACCTTCTCTTTCTGGGGATAACCAAGATATGATCTGTAGTTGCCGCAGTTCTACATGGCCCCAGAGGAAGATGGTTTCCAGTTGAAAGACAGACATCCTATCACACCTGCTTCAGCTATTTCCCCTTGGGTGAAGACACCCCAATGTGACCATGTCAGCCCTGGCATGCTGGAATCTCTAGATAGGTAGGTACTCTGGATAGATTCTGTTCATGATTTTAAACAGCAAAAGTAACTGCTTCTTATGAGCAGAAATTATTCTAGGTTCACTGAGGTCATTGCTGACAAGTGTGTAAAATTCACACATAAATACACCATTCCAACAATAAAGATAGGACTGAGTCAAACAACAGGGGCGTTGGATTATGTGGACATTTAAGCATTCTGGAATATGCTGTTTTGGGGTGGGGGACAAATGTAGGAAAAGAAATACTGAAAAGAAGGATATTGAACAACAGATCTTGCGTGGGGGGTAAAATAAGTAGCTGGTACTGCTACAGCCTGACAATAAGCAAAATAGATCTTGCTTCTTGAGAATAAGCGAGACAAATTCACATACACAAATTCTCCATTGAAATTGTTTTTTTATTTTAGGAAAAACCGGGAAAAACATGTCTTCCACATGGAAAAAAAAATCAAAGGCAAGGAACGCACATGGGTGAATGTAAAGAAGAAATCGGTAATGCCTTTCCTTCATTTATCGTCTACAAAGACAAATTAGATTCCTGCATTTTTAAAAAAAAAATAATAATTCATGCATTTTTCTTATCTCCCTGAGGGGATCTAAAGCTATTCATAGGACCAGGTTATTTTCTCGATAACTATATTTTTTTCGCTGAATAAATAAAAATAGCTGTCAAATCCACTTCAGAAGCAAACAACTTTATTAACAGCTAAAAATTGGAAATGGAACCTGAAAAAAATTAGAGAGATGAGGCAGTCAGGATCAAGAGCCAACTAAGTTTCTTAATTAACCTCCTCAGAGGAACTTTGTGGCTCTGAGGTGTGTTGAACCACAGATGCCCCTGTTCAAAAGGACAATTCATAAAGCCATTTCCCAGTAACAAGCTGTTTTGCTATTTAATCACAGCCTTGAAAAAAATGGTTCTTGGCTGGTTACCTGCCGACTGACTAACCTAATCTAGAAACTTTAGCATCTCCTTCCTCTTCCTGCATATACTACCTGGGAACGTCGCATGGCAGGATTACAGAGCTGGAGCATGAAATGCGTATTCCACGGCTTTAAGGTTTATCTTAAACTGCAGCCTAGTGTCCTTGGCTTGTTTGTTTTGCCACAAAGCTTTTCTGCAAGCTTTTTGCTTGTAGGAAGTAATATGTCTTTTGTCTCCATCAGGCTGTGACAGGGTTCACTACTTCCATGCCTCCAAGAAGAAAAGTCTTTACTTTTGAAGGTAGGCAGGCCTCTTTCACTTGCTTTATACAATGTTGTCAGGATTTAGGCTTAGACTTGGAGTGCCCAATATGGTAGGCACCATCAATGCAGTTAGTCCTCGATTTACAGTTATGCATTTAGTGACTGTTCAACATAATGGCATGGAAAGAAGTGACTTACAACTGGTCCTTGCACTTATGACTGTCACAGTATCTCCAGCGCCACGTAACCAAAATCTGAGTGTTTGTCAACCAGTATTTATTTATCACACTTGCAGCATCCTCGGTCATGTGATCACTGTCTGTGACCTTCCCAACAAGAAAAGGAAAATCAATGGGGAGAAGCCAGATTCATTTAACAACCACATAATTCACTTAGCGACTGCTGTGATTCGTTTAACAACCATGGCAAAAAAGTTGAAATTGGTTGTGGCTCACTGAACAATGGATCACTCCTTGCTTACCAATGGACATACAAGTCTCGATTCTGGTCATAAGCCGAGTTCTCCCTCGACGGCTGCCACTGTGCCCCGAGTTCTTTAAAAAAAATAAATAAATAAATAAATCATGTAACAAAACTGGAAACCTTCAGATTGCAAAATAAAGGGAATATCATTAATACAGATGTTTTATGAAATAGGCAAGCATCATATTTGCAATTTGTTCTCAAAATTCAGAGTGTTTCTCAGAAAAAGGTTGGGGACTTCTGGGCTGGATAATCCCAAGAACTTTCTCATTATTTTTGCCAAATGAAGGAAAGGAGGTTCTTGGCCTGATACATAGCAGCTTTCTCCTGTGAGAGGTTCCAGAGAAATTTCTGTGCATGATATGAATATGAGAGTTAGTACAGGTAGTCCTTGACTTATGACCTCAATTGAGCTCAACATTTCTGCTGCTAAGCAAGACATTTGTTAAGTGAATTTTGCCCCATTTTACCATCTTTCTTGCCACAGTTGTTAAATAAGTCAGTGCAGTTGTTAAATTAATAACACGGTTAAAGTGAATCCGGCTTCCCCATTGACTTTGCTTGTCAGAAGCTCGCAAAAGGTGATCACATGAACATAAATATGAGTTCAGTTGCCAGGCATCCAAATTTTGATCATGTGACCATGGGGATGGCTCAGTGGTTAAGTATGAAAACAGTCACAAGTCACTTTTTTCAGTGCCATCATGACTTCAAACGATCATTTAATGAACTTTTGTAAGCTGAGCACTACCTGTATCAAATGAAGGGCTGGAAGTAGTGGTCTACAAAGGAAGCTGCCTGCTGCATGTATGAGCAACATTGCAGTATGCAGTAGTGAACACGGCATGTTTCGGGATTTGTAATTGGAAAGTATTTTCTTCTGCACCATTCATTTGCCAAACCTTAACATGAAGCCAGCAGACCAAGCAGCTCATGAGGTTCAGTGACTGCATAGTTAAGAATTAGTTCCAGATTTAGGCACCCAATTTTACTACTTGTATTTTCCCGAGTATATTTCCCAGAGTGGGAAATCTCAATTTTAAATGCAGATATTCAGAAATTGAAATCCATAATTATGAATGCTTGATTGCGTTATAGTAATTTCTGTATACAGTATTTGTTAAAAAGTAAAATAATCCTGACTCCTGGGATTGTGAATATCTATGCATATGGTTTGCCATATTCTCTTTAACTTAATTGGTTTGGGGTGGGTTTTCATGCAGTATAGAATTTCTCTCCAGGATAAGTTGAGCCTTTGATATTAGCTATAAGATTGTATCTGAGGATGGTATTGTATGGGATCACTTTGAATATCTGGGGTTTTTTTTCTTACATTGCTATAGATGCAATAACTTCTGATGGAGTGAGGAATCTCTTTGAAGTGGAACAACAAATACAGTCTGATGAAGAGGAGGATATGTATTTTTCCACATAGCCAGTAGCTACCTGATCCATAGCTAAAAATATTTTTAATAAACTGCAACCAATTGAGTTTTGATTTCAGTCTGTTTTGATTTGAATTAAGTTGTTCCCCAGTTCTGTGCTCTCAAGTATTCAGAATAGGGAAAAATCTACCGTACACACTTAGCTTTCTTTTTTAGAAGATGTGATGTGTAATTTATATAAAGAGATAGCTGTGGTAATTACCCTTTTTTAAGGGAAGTAAAATAATGTTTTTAAAAGTTACTTATACAATAAATTCAAGAACATTGTTTGTAATAGCAAAGAATCTCTGTGTTTTCTGTTCCAACAGCAGTGCTTATGTATTTTTGTATTAAACTTACTTAGTGCCTTTTAAATGTTTTTGATACCTTTTTAATTTGGCAATTACAGTGAAACTGGATACATAAAATATAACCACAAATATGTATTAGCCCAGTGTATGGTTAGTTTGTGTCTGGTATGTTCTGTGAACGAAGACCAATGAGTTCAATAAATCTGGAATAATACATTATGTAAACACAGTTACTCTATCAATGTATAAGCTGGTAGTATTACATTCTTAACAATTTAGAGAAGAGAAAACTAGTAGAATAACTATTCCGGACTTTCTATTTAAGGGCATAAGGTTTTCTGAAATTCTGCTGCCTCTTCCAATGAGTCAATAATAATCATTACATATTTTATAACACACCCATAACACTCTCACCAGCATCTGCATACATATTACAACTTTTTAAAAACACTTTAAATAGCTACTGTACAGCACAAACAGCAGTGAGCCATTGTCACCGTAGGCAGTGGACAGGGAAGAGGGAAAATAATGTGAGAAGAAACAATCCTCTCATTAAGCCTTTTCTCACGGTAGGCCTATTGAAAATAATTTTACTGTGAGTACTATATTGATGAATTAGTATTACTGCTTGAAATTGGTGTACATTTAACATCTGTGATTGGTTCTCATATACCATAGGAATTATTTCAAGTGCATAAATAACTTTCTTACATGGTAAAGAAAAACTTCCAGTGATAAGGTAGGACACTAACGGTGAACTAAAATTACAGATCTCTGCTGCAAAAGCCAGAATGTCCAGGACAGCAAAGGAACCCCAAACTCTGCTGTCATCCACTTGTCTGAAATGTTTCAATCTTGATTTTATTTTTTTTAGCCTTATGCTGTACTAGCCTCTTCCTTGACTGAGAAATACTGGGTGAGACGGTGTTCTCTTGCAGTGCTGTATTTATCACTGCCTGAATCCACCTGGAGGCCCCCATTCTGGAGGCGCACACCAGCCAGGGGGATCTAACTGACGGGTACAGGCAGTCCTCGACTTAACAACGGTTCGTTTAGTGACCATTCAAAAGTACAATGGCACTGAAAAATGTGATCTATGACCTTTTTCACACTTATGATCATTGTAACATTTCCATGGTCACAATGGTCAGAAGCTTGGTATTTGACTCATATTTATGACAGTTGCAGTGTCTGGGTTCCTGTGATCACCTTTTGCAATGTTTTGACAAGCAAAGTTAATGGGGAAGCCAGATTCACTTAACAACTGTGTTACTAATGTAACAATTGCAGTGATTCGCTTAAAAAATGTCTCACTTAAGAAATTTTGGGCTTAATTGTGGTTGTAGGTTGAGGACTACTTGTAGTTGCACTGACAGCATCGAGGGTCCTGTCTATCTCATCAGGTCCAACAGGATCAAACTGTTCCCAGATAATCAGGTAAGGCCAATCCACAGGCATCCCTAATGGACCTTCCGCTCATTTGGATTCTTACTGAGAATATGTCTGTTCTCCGATTTCACACAATGAAACCTTGAATGCTTAAAATCTTTTAAAGCATGTATTAAGTAACCCTACATATTTGCTTACATTCCCAAACCTACAGATGTATACTTATAAGAGCTTTAAAGAAAAGTCCATCATTTTTGGAGCAAGTTCTGGCTAAGCTAGCAATATTTATTATTAATGGCTGTAACAGTTCACTGACCCAGTAATTACACTTTGCTTCTAGGCAGTTTTTACAGTAAAATCTCTCAATGTTTTTAAAAACCTAAGGGACAGAAAAGTACAAGTTAGAAACAGCTTTCTCTACACTACATAGCAGACCAGATACACAGTCCAATTAATTTTTACTTACTGAGAAAATTGCTTGTGGTTTCCTAATTTCATTGTTCTATCTTTTCCGTTTTCCTAATGTTATCTTAATGAGAATTTCAATAAGGCATTTGATGGTTAGCTCTTCCACATGGTGGAAAGAGACCTTGGGAAAAGAAATAGGCAAAATTCCGAGTGCAATTTGTTCCTCAAGCCGTCTATAATGAGGAAGGAGCTATGGCAGTGGTGGCGAACCTGTGGCACGGGTGCCAGAGGCGGCACTCAGAGCCCTCTCTGTAGGCACGTGTGCCGTTGCCCCAGCAGAGTTCGCCAGAGTAGCGAGCACGTGGCATTTGGAAGCGACAGGGCAGGAAGTGAGTGAGTAAGCGGCGTTGGCCCCCCCGGGGATGCCCCGGAGATGGCGAGGGACTGGCCCCGGCCACGCTCACCCAGTCTGTGCCCACTGCAGCCACACCCGCCCAGTGGGCACACCCCCATGCGCCCCCTGAGGGCACCGCAATGCTGATGCAGCCCTGGCACTTTGTGATAAATAAGTGGGTTTTGGGTTGCAGTTTGGGCACTCGGTCTCTAAAAGGTTCCCCATCACTGATCTATGGGAAGGAAATCAAGCCTTCCCACCATTTATAAGGGCAAATGGTTAAAAACTACCTTTGAAGTCATTGGCTGTTGTTTCCTTGTGCAGGACAAAAGATAAGATATTGTAATGGACTCAATACACAGTAAAATGGGGGGAAAGTTCCAGGCTTTTCAGATGAACATCCCTTCCAGGATGCCAGAGATCTTAAGTAAATGAATGAAGGTGAATATATGTGTCTCAGGATAATGTTGCAGGATCCAATCTGGACCGGTCACCAGGACCAGAGATTTCGTCTTCAGAACTTTTGGATTTGTGCTGGAACTCATCCTCAAGGAATTTTGCTGCGTGCTTTGGGCTGTTCTGTGTGTAGTATTTATATGGTACCTGTTGTGTGTAGCTTTTTACATGTAGATTGAGGAGTTGATGGATGGCTATTAAGTTGTTGGCTGTTGTTTCCTTGTGCTGCCCAGCCCTCGCCTCTTAAGTACTTAATAAGCTGGGGGTAGCTTCACATTGCAATAAATAAGGACATATATTCAATTATGCAGCTACTAACATTGTTGGACGATTAGGCACAAAAGCAGCCAGGTAAGTGATTGAAGCCTGGGAAATGGACCCCTCATCAATCAATAGGAGTGCTGATTTACCCCCAGCTTATCAAGGACTTAGGAGGTGAGGGCTGGGCAGCACAAGGAAACAACAGCTAACAACTTAATAGCCACCCATCAACTCCCAATCTACATCTAAAACCCTACACACAAAGGGCACCATATAAATAGCATATACAGAACAACCCAAAGCACACAGAGAAGTTCCCTGAGGATGGGCTCTGGGCACAAGTCCTAAAGCTCAGAAGACAAAACCTCTGGTCCTGGTGACAGACTCAGACTGGATCCTGCTTCTTAATTAAATAACAAAAGATCCTTACCTCAAAGAGGTTGCTGCTTCCATCTGGATGCTAAAAAAGCAGAAACCACAATACAGCAGGGTGCTGACTCTAGGAAACCCAACTAAGTTTATTTTCTTGGAATTCCTAGAGGGTGGGTACACTTTGGAAGAACTGTCTGAATATTTAGGTGGCTTCTGTGGAAATTTGTTCCATAGAAGGGTGGGCATTATTGAGAAGGAGGGAGTCTTAACAGCTTTGCCTGTCAGTTCTCACTGGATGAGCAAAGTCAACCTGTAGAAGTGGGGCTAAGAGATAATAACCATCTCCTATTAGGAGTGTGATAAGGGCAAATGTAGTACATAGCTTCATAGACACTGCAGAAACACTGCAACACAATGATCTACATACTCGATCCTTACAGGCAGCACTATCAATGGTACAAAAATTGCTGAGAGATTCATCAGAACCTGAAGGATTACATTCTCTCTTCCTGATCTTGCCAAATGAAGGTATGCCCGTGTCGCCCAAGATCTAAAGTCTCGGAATTCCAACACCGGCTCAGGAAGAGACGAAGCTCTGCAGAAGGGACACTAATACAACAATAGCAACTCTGTGTCCCCTAACCACTGATTCACTGCTGAGTGTACTTTCTTATTGCCACCATGGTTCTCAATAGGAATTTTAGAAATGTATTTTTAAAACTTCAACTTCTTGATCAATTTTGCTGATTAGGGTGACTGGTAGTATCGACTAGTACTCTTATCTATTTCTGTAGTTTTAGAAGAAAAGCAAGGGCACTCCCGCTCTTATAAAGAGCATTCAACACAGTCTGAAGTTTGTTCTGTCAGTACACTCAAAATATTTCCAAAAAAAATCTGAATGAAGCTGTTTTATTCCACGTTTAAAATTAAACCTTTTTATGTCCATGTCATGCAGATTGCAGATATAAGGCAAGTGAAAGAGATCCTTTGCAACACACATGAGTAAAGCACTTTTGCCCAAAACCCACAACCACATTAACCAACCACAACCAAGGTTCAGGATAGCTGCTTCAAAGGCTTTTTCTTGGTTGTTTCCACAGCTTTCCAGACCATATGGCTACTGCAACATTTTGAGGGGTGCTTCACTGACATGAATGTAGAACTTCAAAGTAGAACACTTTGAAGAATAGCTAATATACATCCCCATAAAGAAGACTTATGTGCATTTGACAAATTTTAGCAATCCCTCTTTCTTTTTACATCTTCCTCTCTGAGTATCTACAGTATAGCTGGAACAGGAGGACAACATGGATGGTTTTCACAGTATCAAACCTTTATCTTTTAATTGGGAAAAACAGCTGCCTTCAGAAGCAAGAGAAAGTGGAAAGATGGAGTAAGGAGCCTGTATTAAGGAAAGACACACTGGCTACTTCTATAGAGGAACAAGGCAGCTTGCAATACAGAAACTCGTTTTGTTTGGAATTTTATTTACATATCTTACACTGAAGGAATGTAGTAATAAAGTGCTTCTGTTTAAAAGGGATGTCCCACTTTGATTTATAGAAGGTCATGTGACAATCTTGGGCAACATCTGAGTGTCAAAGGTGTAGTGGATGTAGCGGTACACTTCCTCTGCTTTCTGCTGATTGACCTGAGTGCAGCCTGCCATCTCCCTTGGGGTACTGGAAAGGAAGAAGGAAATGAATGCTTCTCATTAAGGCACTAGTTGTAACCAGGACTCTTCAGCAAAAACACAAAGGGGAAAAATATGAAAATTACTAGAACAGACAGGATAGTCAGAGAGGTTCACAAGGTCTTAATGATAATTCCCGCCTGTGTGGTTGGCTTAAATATTCAGGTCCTGTAAATGCCTGTGGCTATCTCTATTTACATTTAATTTAATTTTAATCTAAGTGGTCACCCATCCTGACTCAGGATGGCATATAAACATCGTACAAAATAACATCAGAATGAATTACATACTATCTTTCTAAGCTATCAAAGCTTATACATCAGGGCTCTACTCGGCCTCCAGGGCTCAGGGCTCTACTCGGCCTCCAGGGATCTCAGATCCTCGGGCCCGGGATCACCGGCTGATGTTATGCAACGCCAGGTCCGTGGTAAATAAGGCCCCCCTCATCCAAGATCTTATTCAAGAGGGGGGTGCGGACCTGGCAGGTATCACCGAGACCTGGCTGGGCACGGAAGGGGGAGTGCCCCTCGTTGATATTTGCCC